ATCAAGGAGGGCGACGATGATTGCATGGTGGCCGAGGTCATCTTCAACGAGAGCGTCATCAAGATCGCGCAGTTCCACCACCAAATTGGGGATTTCGGTGTGAATACGGCTACGCCGCCAGACGCCTTCCTGAAACCTTGCGTGAAACTCGTCCACAGTGCACTCAAGACGCCAGGGGGCGCTGAGAAGATTCAACAGTTCATGCTAAAGATCTTCCCCACGCTCGATGCTGACAAGGTGGAGTCGTTTTCGCAGTGGATCGTAGGGGTGCTCGAGTATGCGGCGGATTATGTTGACAACCGCCTGGAGGTGATCAATGCTAAGGCAGAGGAGGCCGACGCGGCCCTGGACGTCCTAACCGATGAGTACGACATTCAGTCTTCTACGCACGCGACCACGGAGGCGTACAAGGCCGCTCGCATCGCTTTGAAGAAGGTCATCGGCGAGTTGACGGAAGCCACAGCCAAGTACGATCTACCGTTGAGTAGGTATCCGATTATCGAGAGTGGGGACAGGAAGGTGGGGACGGCGCTGGAGAAGATCTGCTACTGGGGCGTCAATAGTTTGCTCAAGAAAGAGGACATCGAGAACGAGAAAACTGGCAAGGATGCTCGCAAGGTCTTGAGGGACATCTGGGTCAACCAAATTCTGGCCAAAGGGTTTCAGCCCCCTGCTGACATCACCGCGAACGTCACGAATGTGCTCGCAGTCGACAAGAAGACCTTGAAGAGTAAGAAGGCCGCGGGCACCATGGGCGACGCTGCCGCTGATGGCTGCGCAGATCCTCGAACGAAGAAGAAGGCCAAAGCACAACAGGTACCTGGGGCAGGTGGCGAAGAGGCGACGGTGGAACCAATCGAACAGAAGAAGGAACGGAAGGACAAGGGAGCCCAACCCAAGCAGAAGAAGGACAAAAAGGAAAATAAGGAAAAGAAGGAAAAGAAGGAAAAGAAGGGTGACAAGAAGGATAAGAAAACAGACAAGACCAGGACCACCGACAAGAAAGAGAAGAAGCGTAGGAAGGGCGCTGGAGACATCGATTGAGATTGGCGCCGCGAGATGGGATTCGAGAAGGCAATCGACTTTTGAGCCACTGACAACTGCTGTAGAGTTGAGCCGTGCCGCTGGAACTGGAGGAGGAGAGAAGAGGAGGAGGAGGAGGGGGAGGAGGAGGAGGAAGAGGAGGAGGAGAGGGCGGGAAAGAAGGAGGAGGAGAAGGAGGAGGAGAGGGGTGATTTTGACAGTTCAATTTCGGCCAGGGCCATGGGCCATTGTAGTCTCGCAACACCGCGTACTTCCAGGGTCGGTCGTGCGCGACGGGCAGGCGCTGCGTCGCAGAAGTCGCCTGGCCTGTTACTGTTTGATCCGCTGCCTGTCGAGCGGTGACTGCGTCAAAAAAAAAAAACCAAGAGGCGCCCAGAAGATCCCCAAGAAGCCCCCCCCCCAAAGGCCCCCGCACTGCTTCCCAGATGCCCCGGAGAGCGCTCCGATATCGTCGTCGTAGTTCTCCTGCAGGGTTGGCGGCACTGGCCATCAGGACTTCGCAATAGAAGGTGGGCAAGAGGAGGGGGGGGAGTCCCTGGCGTCACGCATCACATCACGCGTCCCTGGAGTCCCTGGCGGCGCCCCTGTGGTCTCAGCCGCTGTTGTCCTTTCGCAGTGAGGGGCTCAGAGCTGCGCCCGCCCACCTTTGCAGCGCGGCTTCCACATCTATGATGATGAAACGGCCTTCCGCTGCCCCGGGCGATGATGCTGAGTCTGGAAGCCATTTTGGCCATGTTGCCGAGGGGGCTAAGAAGCGGCCCGCTGCTGACGCCCGACTTTCAGCATCCGAACACGGCGACGGTGATGATGACTCTGTCGAGAGTCGACGAGCCCCCGCGGCCCCCACTGCCAAGTGCGGCGGTCGGAGCGGGCGCAGCGGTCTCAGCCCAGGTGGGCGAGGTGGCCGGGGCAGCGGTGCAGCCAGCGCCTCAGCCCAGACGCCACCGCCTTGGAAGTGCCCAAGGATGTCCAGCAGCGATCCATATCACGTCTCATTGACGAAGACGTTCTTCAAGGTGTTGTCGAAGCGTGAGAAGACCAATATGTCGGAGATGCTGGATTACCTCAGGCAACGGCGCGACACAGAGTTCTCGGTGCTCACTGCTTGCAGCGGGTCGGAGGTCCACGCGAAGGTCGGGGCGGCAGTCTTCGATGTGCTCACTAGCGGGGACATCCAGTACGTGACTTTGGCAGCATGCGAGAGTGACAAGAGAAAAACGAAGTGGATATTAGATGTGGTCGTGGGCGAAGTAGACGAGACTGAGAGACCCCATATTTTCGAGGACGTCGTGGACCTGTGGAAGGATACCGCGACTTGCTCCGCGCATGGCGGCAAGTCCTGTTCTGTTCCAACTGGTGCTCAGGGCCCGCTCGTCGCCTTGATGAGCTTCTCCTGCAAGGACCTCTCCAAGCTGAAGGTCGGCTGGCGGAACTTGAACCCCAGGGCGCTGACTGACCCGAAACTGAGCACTGGGAAAACCTTTCTGGCGATCGTGTCCTACCTGAGCGAGCACAGGCCCCCCGTGTACGCAGGCGAGAACCTTGCGGAAATTGCAGAGTCCGCCTCCCACATGTCTGAGATGGAGGAGGCCTTCCATTCCATCGGCTACGTTTTCCGCGCTCGTGTATTGCACAGTGACAAGTACCAGTCTCCGCAGAAGCGGAGCCGAACGTTCATACTTGCCTTGGACGTCTGGGGCAGCGAGTTGGACCCTGAGTCGGCGAGGGCGCTCATAGACGACGTCTTCAAGTGCATGGGGAAGATGGAGGCGGAACCTCGCGACGGGTTCGACGCGTTCTTGCTGGCCGACGGCGACAACTACTTGGAGAAGCGGCGCGACGAGATCGTGGCGAACAAGCAGAGCATTGACAAGAGCAACACGTGGAGCAAGCCGTACTCTGACTTCCTGGAGGGCAAAGGCATCCAGCTATCCGATTGTGTCCCACCCGAAGAACAGCGCTGCAGCTCTTGGTACGCATGCCTCTGTGACAGGGAGAAAGTCGTGCTCGGCTACAAAATGCTCACGAAGCCCGACGTGACTTCCGTGAACTTGTCCCAGCGGCCCCAGTCAGCTGGAAGCTCTGACGATCCCGATAATTTGAACACGCTCTTGCCTGGCCAGCGGCTGTGGCTCCCGAAGCTTTCAGAGCCAAGATTGTTGCTGGGTCGGGAGTCTCTGGCAATCCAGGGATGGCCAGCCGACGAGTTGGCAGACAAGCTAGAATGGGATAACTTGATGAGTGACCTTGCTGGAAACGCCATCTCGGGTCAGATCTGGATGGCGATGCTGATTGCTATGCTCGGCACTTTGCCAGCCAGTTTTTTCGAGAGCTCACTCGGTGACGATGCGATCTCGCGCCAGGGCAGCGGCGTGGAGACACTCTTGGCAGATGCCAGTGTGGACCTCTCGCTGCTAAGCAGCATTGCCGACATGGATTGAGTGTTGATCGGGGGTTGGAGGAGGCGGGAAATGGGGTCTGGGGAGCAACAGAGGAAGGCAATAGCGCGCCGAAGCATACATCGCTAGCATTAGGTACGTGCGTGGTCCTCTGGGGGACCAGGAAGAGGAGGGCGAGGAGGAGGAGGAGGAGGAGGAGGAGGAGGAAAAAGGAGGAGTACGACTACGGGGTGGAAGCACACATTCCAGCAACATATGTCTGCCCGAGTTTGCGCCTGTCTGACCTAGGCCACTGCTCAGGCAGTGGCGAGTTGCGCTGACCCTCTGCTCTCAGTGACGAGTTGCGCTGACCCTCTGCTCTAGTGAAGTCCAGCGTTTAATCCTCGTGGATTCGGATGGGCTGGCTTCGTGGGCGTACCCTGACATGATAGAGTGCAAGGTTGGCGGGCCACCATAGCGCCACATCATTCGTGCCTTCTTTCTCTCTCTCGCTCTTCCTCTGTCTCTCTTTCTCTCTCCCGCTCTCCCCCTTGCCCTTCCTCATCTTCTCTATCTCTCTCGTTCTCTCCACCTCTCCCTCTCTCTCTCTCTGACCGCGATCCCGTGTTGCGGGTCTGACGCCTCCTGGGGTGCCTCGTGGGAACTTTGAAGCCCCCCCTCTGGAAGCAACGGTTTGGGGCTCCATCTGGGCTCATCGAGGTCTTGTTGAGGATCTCCTCTGGGCAGCTTCAGGCACACCTGACGCCTCTCAGGATCTTCACGAGGCAGAAGGATGAGATGTTATCAATGCGCGTTTTCCTTCTTGGGCGTCTTGGGAGCCTCCTCGGGGACGCCTTGGAATCGAAACTGTGGGCATCACACACGTTGGACCGATCTTCGATTCGCGGCTCGCCTGGGTCATCTTGGGAGCCCCTTCGGTGCCCTCTTGGCCCATCTTGAGCCCCCCCCCATCCGTTTTCAAAACAGTGCCCCAAGGGAACTAGCGCGGGCGCGTCAACCCGTGTCTCGAGGACAAACTTGTAGTTAGGCCGTTTCCGTCGTGCGGGGAAGGCGAAGCCATGGCGACGTTGTGTGATATGTTACATGTTCGTGCACTGTCTCGTTGTACATACAGACGGCTGCATTGCTGCGCAAATCCGCCGCTCCGTTCTGACTGTGCACCCGACCGTCTCGACCTCGCATGGGGTATGCCAAGAAACCGAGAGCCCTACCACGAAACCGAGAGCCCTACCAAGAAACCGAGAGCCCTACCAAGAAACCGAGAGCCCTACCAAGAAACCGAGAGCCCTACCAAGAAACCGAGAGCCCTACCAAGAAACCGAGAGCCCTACCAAGAAACCGGGAGCCCTACCAAGAAACCGAGAGCCCTACGAAGAAACCGGGAGCCCTACCAAGAAACCAGAAACCCAACCAAGAAATGCTGAAATAAATGCGGGAACCAATGTTCGGTGTAACGTTTGGACGATGTAATGCTTGTCCATACTACGTGGCAGACAGGTAATACACGGCCTTTTGCTGCTTTTAATGCCAGAACCGATGTGGTGAAAATTCGCGTCC